CTTCATTCTCCAGAAGATCCTAAATGAAAACACCTGTTTTTCATTTGCATGAATCTTTATTGAGACTGAATGATCAGAATTATTCACAATATTCTCTATGAGACTTTTTACATAAAATATCTCTTGGTACTTTTCTGTATACCATTTAACTTTTAGCAGTTCATGATGTGTGACCACTTAATACTCAAAGATCCTTTTTTCTCCTTCCCTCTCATTTCCAGTTGGTGAGTTCCCAGGAACAAAAGTAATTAGTCCCTATATCCATGGCAGTAAATTTTGCATACTCAAATCTCATCCAAGATTTCATTTCATCCATCTTTCAGTATTCATTTATAACATCCTGATTATTCTGTCCTTGTACCATCAGCAAATTTCATCCAAATGCTCTTTTTATTTGTGCCAAGGCCATGAATTCAAATATGAAACAAGATAAGGCCCCACAGTGACCTCCATTAGTAATCCCTTTTCCCTATCAAGATTCTGCCTTTGTGGAGCAGTCTCAAAGGCCTTTTAAAAATCAAAATATATCAGATTAAATGTTTCTCTTTTATTAAGTTCTTTGTTGACGCATCCCGAAAACTGAGCAGAGGATTTATGAGATACTCTTTGCTTAAAGAATTAATCTCAGTTATCAGGATCTTCCAGGTGTTTTGACATATTTTTAATTACCATTCTGACCAGCTTTCAAGAAACAGATAAAAGCTTCACTATTCTACTCCCCTGATTCATCCCTAGCACCTTTTTCAAAATTGTGGGTACAGTCTGTGTTGTGTTCCCTGAAGCTCTGATACCATAGCAGCTTTCCATGACAGACCATATATTTTTCTAACCCAAGAAGCCCCACTACTAATCACTTGAAATTCTCTGGAATTCTTGGAGGTATACCATATTATATTTTAAAATTATCAGTTTGGTCCAACATTTCTCATTATCAACTCTCAATCTTTGAAAGCTGCTTCATTGTAAAAAACAGAGTGCATGCAGGACAGGAATACAAAATTCTCAAAACTGAAAGTGTATGTGAAAAAACAAGGTTTTTCTCGATTGTTCTCTTTAACCACCCTTGATCCAACACATCCACTAATTGTTTCACAGGCTTCCCAGTTCTCACACCCAGGAAGATTCTTATTTCTCTTTTTCATTCATTTCATTGTTTGCTCTGCAACTCCCTGTTCTGTCTTCCCTCCTAATTATTAAATGCTGCAAATTCAAGCTTCTCCCTACTGTAAATTTTGAAGAACCTCTTTCTTGACTCTGAAATTATAAGTTAAGTCACACAGGTAACCTATTTTCCTTTTGATCCTCAGGAATGCTTGTCATCCAAGACTATTATTATTGCTGATATCATCGGTATCCTCCAGCACTTCTAAGGATTTTAATCTTTTACTATTAACTCTGATGTCTGCTTCTCAGTCAGAATGCAACGGCATGAACTGCTCATTAGTTTGAGTTATTGCGATCAAACTTTATATCCTGTCTGCGATTTCACACCATCTGCTTTTGAAGTGGCAGATAGGCTGTTAATCAGACTCACCGTGCTTCAGTGCCTGTGAAGTGTACTGGCTCTTTGAAAAGTGACTTCAGGTGGTTCTTCATTTACTGTTTCAAGCAACTTCTGTCCACGCTTACAGGTAGCCAGAGCTTTCCTAGCTGCCAGTCCTGGGAATGTGTCCACAGCTTTCCTTTCTTGCTTAATGCCCAAGATTTGATGCACAAAACAGGGTTCTCTCTTAAGGACAACTATCAATTGATCTTTTGGTTTGCTCACTATAAACATCCAAAACTTAGAATACAATTTTGTCAATTCCAAGGAAGGAGCAGTATCCAGCTTCCTCTTTCAGAGCTATTTATATTCTACAGGGCTAACAAGCAAGAAAACCAGTAAAAATTACTTCAGCCTATCAAGTCGAATTAGCTAAAATGCACCTAAGCATCCTAACTGCTGTGTAAGAAGGTACGTTTATGTGTAGGCATTTCAGAGGAGAATCACTTTACAACCTTGCTGTACTTTGTATTCATTGAGCCTGTGGTAATACATGTGACAGTACCCCAGTGTGCTTTGGGGCCCTAGAATCTGACCTTCAATATCAATTTGTCTGTCTGTCCAACAACTGAAATGTTTCCCTTGTGAGTACTTCGAGTCAAGAAAGTGCAATTATAATGGAAATAATTTTTTTCATGGAAAACTCTTCAGATGTTCTACACTGAAGGAAAAACAGCATGACTTGAAAATGTATGCAAAACAAATTCATTCACTGACACTCCTTTCTCTTCCTAGAAAAGCACCTTTGTCTCACCCAAGTCTTCTAGCATAGAACACAGCAGACCCTAAGTCACCAGAAAAACTTGTGAAGACCTCGACACCGTGGTGTGCCACACCATGATGGCCAGGAGTCCCCTCCCCAGAGCTCCCCTGCTCTCTATCCTTACAAACACTGAGACCACACAGGAGTGTGCATTTAAGTACTACTTAGAATCCTGTAGGCTCGTGCAGACTCCGACAGCTCCGACTTCACCCTCCAGGTTTTTCAGTTTGAACAGAAGCTCCAGAACAACGCAGAAGCTCCTGCATATGATCTTCCTCCACCAACCTTTCCAGATGGCATCGTTCCCAGAGGCCCATTCACAGCACAACTCAGCCACAGAGAACCCATAGGAAGGGCTGGGGCAGACCAAGAACAACACGGTTAAAATATTTTCCCCAGTTTGTGTTAGATCTGTATCCTGACTCCTGCCTCAGCACACTGCTTTCTGTCAGAGATACCACAATCTGAACACACAGTTAAGCATTGTGCAGCAAGTTTTGTCATTTTGTATCTCTCTGGTATCTCCCATGTACTGCCTGGAATGTCCTAATGATTGGGGTTTGTAATCCACCTATTTTTGTCTCTGTGAATATTTAATCAGTCATTCACACAAAGAGGATAAGCTTCAAGGTGTGTGGGGGGGAAGGCATTAAAAAACAATTACGTCCAATTATCCAAAGCTGAATAACAAGAGCATTTGCCTAGGATACGCTGGCACATCTCTCTTTCAAACAGGGCATTTGACCTCGGGACACAGAAAGAGCAGTCTCCCTCTGCTCAAGGTCCTTGGGAATGAGCCCTACTCTGTTCCCGTGCCTGCCTACAGCCACTCTGCCTGTCTGAAACATCAAGGGAAAAACGGGTGAGCCAGGTTTAAACCTCTGCTAAAAAGCCATGAAAAGAATGAATGTCCCTTGCAGAGATCTAAAAAAACAAGAACTCATGTAGGGTTCATGAAAATAAGAGACCAAATACAGGAGACAGACTTTATTTTTGTCCTTGCAGAGGGAAAGGTCACAGTACAAACTAAAGATTTAAAAGGCTTAAGAGAACCAGAATGAAAAGAGACATTACAAATGCACCAATTAGGGGAACAGCTTCAGTTAGAACTTGTGCCTTGTCACTCATCAAAGGATCCAATTACGAGACCAAAACCAGACTTTGTTAGTTCTGCAATTCACAGAACTACCTGCTTCAAAGCACATTAAAGTGCAGCTGCAGCCTGAAAAGTGACTATCACAGCTACGTGGGAAGGCATGGAGCCTACACCGAGTCTTGGAGGAAACAAAGACCCAACCTTCAGTCCCTAAGGAATGAACACAGGGACCTTCCTCGTTTCAACAAAGCCTCCCTGTATTGGAAGTACATCCAGTGGCCCTGTCTTGGACTTCTGAGGATTTCAGGGAGAGCCTGTACTGTTTCAGGTCCCATTTGAAAGCAGAAGTGGGTCTGGAAGAGATGGGACAGTCCATGTGGAAACCATTTTTGTGGGTAGAGAGAGACAGAGGGGCTTCTGTCCACCCAAGATACTCCACTGCCTTTCCCAGTGACCAAAACTCTGGAGTATGACTGGTTTGGGTTTGGCTGGCATTCCTCAGGCAGGGAATGACTGAAAGACAAAACACACCCCACTGCTGGGAGCCCGAGTGCAGTGTGTGGGAAGCGGACACATTTAACCCTGAGAACTCTGTCCTACCGCTGTGTGAATAACTGGATTACATTTAAAGGCTTCCAGGATGAGAGGACATAGTCTCAAGATGTGCCTGGGGAAGTTTAGGTTGGGAGAATTTAGGTTGGAGGAATTACCTCACCAAAAGGGTGTTTAGACATTGGAATGGGCTGCCCTTGGAGGTGGTGGAGTCACCATCCCTGGAGATGTTTAGAACATTGGACGTGGCACTCAGTGCCATGGTCTATGGCCATAGTGGTGTTCCGTCACAGGATGGACTCAGAGATCCCGGAGGTCTTTCCAACATCACTGACTCCGTATCTCCCCGCACACGGGTGAGGCCCTCACGCACAGCGCTGAGCCCCGCGGGGCGCTGCCCTCACGCACAACATGGACCCCCCGCTGCCATTTTGCGGGCGCCGCTCCCCACGTGCCCCAGACACGGGGGACGGCCCCGCCCGCGCCCTGACGTCACGAAAGGCGCATGCGCCGAGGGGAGGCGGGAGGGGGCGCCACCGCCCGAGGCCGCGAAGCGGGTCAGCCGGAAGCCGCCGAGCCCCGCGCAGGAAGTGGCCCCCGCGCAGGAAGTGGCCCCTGCGCGCACACCGCGACCAGCGGCCCCCGGCTGCAGCCGCCCGCGCGGCCCTTTGTGACTCATGTGACTGACGCTCGCGGCGCTGACCAATAGCAGAGGCTCCTCCCTTGCCCGCCTGGCCCCGCCTCCCCTCCGGCATCACGGCCAATCGGGAGGGCAAGGTCGCCTCCATCGCCATTTACTCCCTGATGGATGGGTGCGAAACCCAATGAGATCGCTGGCCCCGCCCCCGCCTCCCGCCAATGGGCGCCGCGCAATGCGGCGCTGGCGGGCCGGGGGCAGCCAGGGAGGGCCCGCTGGACGCCCCCGCCCCGGCGGAGTTGCAGCCGCCCCGCCCTCCCCTCCGCCACCGTGAGGGGCTCCGGCCGCCCCCGGCCCCGGGCAGCCCCGCCGCCCGCCACACGTTCCCTGGCTGGTGCGACACGGGGCGGGGAGGAGCCGCCCGGCCGCTGCGTGCGGGGGCTCTGCGCGCTCTTAAGGTGGCCCCGAGAGCGCGACGGGAACGGGACCGGGATAGCCGGGGTGTCCCCGGGGGGGCGGCGGTGGGAGGATGCCCGCCCGGCCGTCAGGGTGAGGGAGCTGGGTGGAGGTTTGTGCCGGGAGATAAGAGCCTGTCACATGAGGATTCCCGCTGCAGAGACGGGGAGCGGCGGCTGGAGACAGTCTGTGCCTTCCTGTGTGTCCGAGGCTGGGCCAGCAAACACGTCCCTCGACGACTGTCCAGCCTTTGAAACTTCGGAGCTCCCGGCAGGTGCGGTTGGTTCTGGTGGGGATATCAGGTACACTGGCTTCTTGTAGCTAGGATCCTAAACGTGTAATTGAAGCCTTGGGTTTTAAACCACGAGTTTTGGCTTCTTAATTGTGCAAGATGCATCATGACTTGCATGGGTATGTAATTCACATAGAGCACACCAAGAAATTATAAAAGATACACAACGTGAGTAACCAGTAAATCTTTACATACATGTCTACAGAATGACTGCATCTCTGAGGTGGCAAAAGACCTCTGAGAACATCGAGTGGAACCTTTGACTGAACACTACCACTGCAACTAGATCATGGCACTGAGTGCCACATCCAGTCTTTCCTTAAACACTTCCGAGGACATAGGCTGCACCACCTCCCTGGGCAGCACATTCATGTCTAATCACCGTGAAGAAATTCCTCCTGAAGTCCAACCTAAACCGCTCCTGACACCAGCCTGAGGCTATGTCCTCCTGGCCTGTCACTTGCTAGCTGGGAGAAGAGGCCGACCCCCACCTGGCTGCCCCCTCCTTTTAGGTGGTTGTAGGGTGAGGGGGTTACCTCTGAACCTCTTCTACAGGCTAAACAACCCCCGTTCCCTCAGTCGTTCTTGTAGTTGTGTGCAAGTGCATAAACAAAGGTTTTCCTGGCTGAGAAGGTTTTTTTGTTTTTTTTTTTTTTTTAAACCCAAGCCAAACACCTAACCCTGCCCAAGGAAAAAAACGTTAGGATACCTGCATGTTACATAGGATTCCTGAGATGCCTGTTTATTACTAGTTGCAAGTGGAAGGAACAGTCCTTCAACCAGGATGTAGAAGAGAATTCCTTCCCATATACTGAGACTTTCAGTGTCCCAACTGCCAAAAACCAAAGCCACCTCCTACACTTTCCTGGATGCGAGAAGTCCCAACTGCCTGCTACCCATCTGTCAAAATTTATAGATCTCCTTAGACAAATATTAACAATTCAGTCATGCGCAAAGCCTGTGGCATATTGAAAAAATTGGGAGAAGGATAAAATACATTGAATGTAATGTAAAAATAAGCTATGTGGTGACTGGTTTACTCTTTTTCCGTGTGTCTCCATCTGCTCTCCTCTGTATTCTATTTAGCTTTGAAAGGCTTTGGGATGTGTCTTTGTTGTCTGAATGCTGAATATGATGATGGATCACGATACATTTATCTCTGCATTTCTGCCACACTGATCCTTTGCCCTGCCTCCCTAGGGCACTTTTTGTGTTGGATAGTAATTTTTGCATTTACATACTTACAAGCAGTGGAACAAGTTAGTTACATCTTACCTTTTAATTGTCTACAAAAAACAGGCAGTACTTCAGATATTCATTCGAGGAGAGGATCCTGAAAACCAGAAGGAAAAATGAGTAGGGAGCACACATCGGATGCCTGGCACACGCTGAGTCCAACCACAGCTTTTTAACACCTCTGCATTTGGCTACACATCAAACAACTTGCAGATACCACCCATCTGCCTCCCAGCACAATGATGCTCCTGCCTTGTCTCAGTAAAGAGTAGTCTGAGCACTGTGTGGACACAAATCCTAGCTAGAGGGGGACTGGGGAACTTGGAGTAGCAGACACACCCAAAGACCACCTAGCCCAAAGAGAGGTCAGAAGAGAGGCAGAAGAACAAGGGAGTTGAAGCTAAGCTGTTCACGCAGGGCTTGAGTGAGGCTGGGAGAAATGGCAGACTCGGACAGAGCTCTACTGTGGCCGTGGGAGGGGAAAAGATGGTTGTTGGCCCTTGGAATGATCAAAAACACCATAATGGGGATCTGTAGTGAGATAATATGAATAGTATGGAGAGAAAGGCAGGAAACCCTTCCTGACAGAACAGGTAGTAGCATAGGGAGGGAAGTTGTGACTAGAGCTGGCATAGGTGCAGAAGAAGGGGATAGTGTGGGAGAAGGAGGCCACAGAATCCTGAGAGGATGGGGGATGATGACCGACTTCTTGAAATGAAGGTGTAGAACTATGGCACAGGTTTTGACCTGTTGAAGGAATGGAAGGAGTCATTGCAGGTGCAATGGTAAACTCAGCCCTGCAAAAGCAGCAAATTTTAAAACACCCCCTCTGCTATCTCAATTTCCATATTACAGTTTCCAGAAGTTAAAAAAAAAAAAAAATTTCTCAGAAAATGCCATTTCCTCCCAGTATATGTGCTGTTCTCTACTTCAAGCTTTACAGCAGTGCTGCTATTTGGAAGGATTCAGATGTGAAACCACATACAAAAAATGAGATGATTACATACAGGGCGACTTTCAGATAACTGGGATAGGGGTCCCGGGGGGGCTGTTTTGGTCATGCTTTTCAGATTGACACATCAAAATTATGTGCCTGCCACACTGTCTGCAGGTGTATGGGACACCAGGCAGCGCCTGCTCCTCCTCACACACACATTTTAGAGTATTGTTCATTTGGCATGCTTTACTGCACAGCCCCCTTTAACGTATAATGAACTACTGCCTTGGTGTGCATCCCTGAGACACGTCAACAGGAGACTCCTGGTTTTTGGCCTGCTGTGTCAGAGTGGGACAGCACTGAGTGTAATTCACAGTCACAGGATGAGTTAGGTTGGAAGTGACCACAGTGGGTTATCTGGTCCATCCTTGTTTTAGCAGGGTCCTCCCAGAGCGCATTGTGCAGGATTGCATTTAGATGGTTCTTGAGTATCTCCAGTGAGGGAGACTCCACAACCTCTCTGGGCAGCCTTTTCCAGTGGACAGTCTGTACAGTGCAGTGAACCTGCACAGTAAAGAAGTTCTTCCCCCTGTTCAGGTGGAACTTCCTGTACATCAACTTCTTCCTCTTCATCCTAGAGGTTGGCATCACTGAGAAAAACCTTGTTGCATCTTCTTGGGATGCCCACTTTAGATATTTATACATATTAATGAGATAAATTAATGGGGTTTCCTATATGGTTCTAGCTGGCTTTAACACAGAGAATAGATAGCAATGAAGCTTTTAACAGGATTGTGGAAGAAACACCTTTTATTAAGATCTGGTGAAGTCTCTGCAATAGGTTGTGGACACACAATGCTTGAGAGAAGACTACTAGAGAGAGCTGCATTGTTTTGGGGTGGGAGTTGAAGTAGGGCACCACCACAGCCTGGCCGGCGTGAGCAGAGCGGCTGGGCAGACCCCGACCCAGGGTGCCCATCTGTGAGCCCCTGTGCCGGGGCTATGCCCGGCTATCGCTGGGGTGACCCCGCAGCCGCTGCCCTCCGTTTAGAGCGCCGAAAGGCGGCTGATGGCAGCGGCCTGGGGGAGAGGGCCCCACGGCCATCTCCGCGGTGAATCGAGCCTCCCCCCCAAGCGGGGGAAGGGCTCGGCCGGTCCCGGCCTGGCAAAGCGGGCGGGCAGCCGCTGCTCCCCCGGCCCGGCGCCTCCTTAACCCGGGGAGGCGGGGGCGGCCGCGGCCGGGGGGAGCCGGGGGAGGCGGAGCGGCGGCCGGGGAGGAGCCGGGGCCTGCAGTGGAGCCGCAGCCCGGAGCAGCAGCCGCGGGAGCGGCGGGGCCTGGAGAGAGTCAGCGCCGCCCGGGCCGGGCCTCTCGCACCGGAGCCCGGGGAGCCCCCGTGGACGAAGCCGCGGCCCGGCGGAAGGCGGCGGAGGCGCCGCGCAGCCCCGCGCAGGCCCGCGAGCCGCCGCGGCCTCCCGTGGTAGCCGAGCCCGGGCAGGAGGAGCTGGGGCCTGGGGGGAAGCCAGGGACAGCGGCCGGGGTGGGGGGACACCCCATTAGCCTGCCGGGGTGGGGGAGAGACCCTGCCCGCCGCCCCCCGCCCCGTCCGCAGCCGCGTTAGGCAGCCCCGCGCCCGCTGTGAGGACACCCCAGCGCCCCCCCTGCCAGGCCCCTTCCCCGCAGCTGGTGAGGGAGCTGAACACTTGCCCCCTTCCCCACTAACGAGCCAAGGGTGTGCGGAGGCCCCCGGCACCCAGCCCTAGCAACTATCTAGAAGCAGGTCTGCTCTTTCTCGCAGTGGAACAGAGCCTTCTGGAGCTCCCTTGATACTTGTTACCGGGAGAGGGGTCCTCAGACCCAGTTCCTGAGGAGTGTGAGAATAACCTTTACTGCCGACTCCCTCCTGCTGCTGAGAGAAGTCTTCTCTCAAGCCCTTCCCCGGACCAGGTAGTAGTGGGTGTCTTTACAGAGGAAATCCTGTATGCCGAGGAGAGGCAGTTCCCAAGACAGAAATAAGCAGGAGCTCCAGTACTTACTTACCTAGTAATTTTAATTACTTACATCTGCTCAGCAGGTGCTAGAGCAAAACAAGGGAGAGAAAGCAGAGAGAGATTTAGCTAGTCTTTCCTTTTCCAGTTGCTGTTAACTGTAGATAAAGGTAATTTCCAATACTGATTTCATCCTCCTTCATCCCAAGGAAGATTCCTCATCCCCTAATCCCAAGAGGGTTTTCTTCAAATACCCAGTGCAAGGAGAGAAGACACACCTCCTAGTTACAGGGAGAGGAAAAGGCAGATTTCACTGATAATATCCACGGAGATAGCAAGAATTGGTTTAGAGAAAGGGATTTTTTTCCCCTTACGGCAAGGTGTACCTAGAGAAGAGAGATTTCTAGGTAGGCAGATTGGGGAAATAGATTTCTGAAGTAATCTGACCATCAGTGAAAAGGCTGTTTCCCAGGGAACACCCCTTTAGTAGTTAGCTGCCTGACGGGAGAGAGGATCTCCATCCCGGGATAAAACCAGCAGTTTTAGGGGACTGACAACCCCCAAGCAGATTGTTTTAGTACCCAACATCCTGATTTCATCCACAATCCTTTCGCCCTCGAAATATTTTTTGAAGAAGCCCTTGGAATAGCTGACAGCAGCGGTCTGAGTATGGGTCTCAGAGAAGCAGTGTGAAGGGCAGCACCCCAACAACCAGCACTGAAGATAATCCACCTCCCTCCAGAAAATCTTCCAGACAGAGTGAGTGACCACATTATATCACCTCTCTATTCCTAGCTGTCTTCTGTCGCCTTCTGTCCTTGTTTTCTGTATCTCTTCTTCTCTCACTGTATCTGCATGCTTTTAATCGTTTAGCTCTTTCTGTTTCTGGACTTCTCCCCACCTTCTTTTTCTGTGTGTCTCTCTCAATCTCATTCATTTAGCTGCCTTACGGAATTGACCTGATTCTTTCCCTCACTATTTAGCTTATGGGAGATCTTAGCCCTCTTTAATTGTAAGAAGCCTCTCTGCCCTTTCCCTTCTACTTTCTTTCACTGGTTTATTCATCCTAGACTCAGCCTTAATCATCACTGGTGTGAATTAATTTCTGTCACTTAGGGGTCATTGAGAATGATAACAGTGGCCACAAAAAGCTTTGAGGAGACAGGAGCAGTGATTTGTAGTGCCAGTGTCCAAGGATGCACCCATGGGGTGGAGTGTCAGTTCTCCATGTGGGTCCTACTATGCTTGTGACTGTGGGAGTAAAATGACTGTGCAGTGCAGACCTCGCTGTGCTTGGGGTCTGAACCTACAGATCCCCGTGCAAATACTCTGAGATGTGCGTCCTAGTGTACCTAAGGGACTGTGGGATGAATTCTGGAAGGAATGCCCTTGAGAGTGGGTCCTGTGGTGCTCAGGGGCCTGGCAGTGAAAGCTGTGACAGTGCTGGTGGAACCTGCTCTGAAAGCCAGAAGAAGCCGTTCAGTTGCCACCAGTCTTCATATGTGTTTTATGCTGTGTTCAGGGGCTAGGAATGTGAATCCTAGTGCTTGTGCTGCGTGAGCCAAGCTGCTGCTTTTTGTAAATGAGGCAGTTAATTCCCAGCCACAAATGAGTATTCTGACACCAGCGTAGTGATTTCCTGAGAAATCAAGTCTGAGGGAGACGTCGTCTCAAAGCCAAAGCAGATTCCAGTAGCAGAGGAATCTTGGCTATCTCACATGAGGTATTACTGTTTCTGGTGAGATAGCAGTGAGGAAATCCAAGATCAAAGGGCCAGGACAGGGAGCCCTATTGGAGAGCAATGGTTAAACAGGGAGTCCCTGAAGAAGGAACTCCTTGGTGTAATGTGCTTGCAAGATC